TATACAGCCTAGACCTGATATATTGGTTTAGATATACAACTATGCAGCCTAGACCAGATATATTGGTTTAGATATACAACTTTACGGCCTAGACCTGATATATTGGTTTATATATACAACTATACAGCCTAGACCTGATATATTGGTTTAGATATACAACTATACAGCCTAGACCTGATATATTGGTTTAGATATACAACTTTACGGCCTAGACCTGATATATTGGTTTATATATACAACTATACGGCCTAGACCTGATATATTGGTTTAGATATACAACTTTACGCCCTAGACCTGATATATTGGTTTAGATAAACAACTTTACACCCTAGACCTGATATATTGGTTTAGATATACAACTATGCAGCCTAGACCAGATATATTGGTTAAGATATACAACTATACAGCCTAGACCTGATATATTGGTTTATATATGTAACTATACAGCCCAGACCTGATATATTGGTTTAGATATACAACTGATATATTTCGTTTTATATGGCCCATAATTGATACATTTGAAGACATATCAGGTTTGCCCTGTTCAGGTTTAAGCTTTGTCGTACCTCAAAAAAAAGCTTTCCACTTAATACTTACAAAGTCTTTAACAGCAAATGTTTTAATGATAAATATAAACCCTGTCTATATCCAGGTAGCAGGTCTGATGTGCAATAAGGCGTAAAGATGACAGAGATATATGACAATCCGGGTCAACAAACAATTCTTTTCCAATAAAATGTATACAAATACTGCTAGCCCTCTACTATTGTACCTCACATCATATCATTCTACTGTGTTAATCTCTATCTTTTAAGTTTTATTATACAAATTACTGCAGGTCGTTGTATATCCTGAAGTTTGATCTATACAGAAACACTGCTCGACTAGTAGTCTTTTATAGCAGTGTCTATCCACATATTTGTTATACAACAATAGTATAATTTCTGACATAATGTAGATCTAACTACAACAACACTGATACTGGTATCTAATATCTGTGCTATTTGTTTCTGCATGTTAGAAGGTCACATACCAGTCTATTGTCTGTAGGTAGTGTATGTTTACTATATGTAACTGGGGCCCGTATAAAACATCTGAAAGTTAAGGAAAATCTCAAGCAATGTACTGTCTATGGGAAATCTTAAGACTTCAGGAAATCTTAAGAGTTCAGATGTTTTATAAAAGTGTGGCCTGGTAATACATACCTAGACACCATTTTGGAATGTTTCTTACATAACTGACAATGAGTATGCATAAATTACCCATTGTTAGAGATTTACTGGAAGGTTTGTCCATGGTCTAAACCTACATCCTTTCTAACCATTTGTATTTTATCAATATCTGTCAAACAAAGTAAATGTCTGCTGTATTAGTAAAAAAAATCTGTACCAGTGCACATCTGTTTATGAAATATTTTGAGGTAAGATTTAATGATTTCAGATCATCCTAGCGTGTTAAGGTGTAACTACTACAATGATTTGTGATGGGGTCTACCCAGATAAGACATGTTAGATGTATACTGTACACTACTACAATGATTTGTGATGGGGTCTACCCAGATAACACATGGTAGATGTATACTGTACACTACTACAATGATTTGTGATGGGGTCTACCCAGATAACACATGGTAGATGTATACTGTACACTACTACAATGATTTGTGATGGGGTCTACCCAGATAACACATGGTAGATGTATACTGTACACTACTACAATGATTTGTGATGGGGTCTACCCAGATAACACATGGTAGATGTATACTGTACACTACTACAATGATTTGTGATGGGGTCTACCCAGATAACACATGGTAGATGTATACTGTACACTACTACAATGATTTGTGATGGGGTCTACCCAGATAACACATGGTAGATGTATACTGTACACTACTACAATGATTTGTGATGGGGTCTACCCAGATAACACATGGTAGATGTATACTGTACACTACTACAATGATTTGTGATGGGGTCTACCCAGATAACACATGGTAGATGTATACTGTACACTACTACAATGATTTGTGATGGGGTCTACCCAGATAACACATGGTAGATGTATACTGTACACTACTACAATGATTTGTGATGGGGTCTACCCAGATAACACATGGTAGATGTATACTGTACACTACTACAATGATTTGTGATGGGGTCTACCCAGATAACACATGGTAGATGTATACTGTACACTACTACAATGATTTGTGATGGGGTCTACCCAGATAACACATGGTAGATGTATACTGTACACTACTACAATGATTTGTGATGGGGTCTACCCAGATAACACATGGTAGATGTATACTGTACACTACTACAATGATTTGTGATGGGGTCTACCCAGATAACACATGGTAGATGTATACTGTACACTACTACAATGATTTGTGATGGGGTCTACCCAGATAACACATGGTAGATGTATACTGTACACTACTACAATGATTTGTGATGGGGTCTACCCAGATAACACATGGTAGATGTATACTGTACACTACTACAATGATTTGTGATGGGGTCTACCCAGATAACACATGGTAGATGTATACTGTACACTACTACAATGATTTGTGATGGGGTCTACCCAGATAACACATGGTAGATGTATACTGTACACTACTACAATGATTTGTGATGGGGTCTACCCAGATAACACATGGTAGATGTATACTGTACACTACTACAATGATTTGTGATGGGGTCTACCCAGATAACACATGGTAGATGTATACTGTACACTACTACAATGATTTGTGATGGGGTCTACCCAGATAACACATGGTAGATGTATACTGTACACTACTACAATGATTTGTGATGGGGTCTACCCAGATAACACATGGTAGATGTATACTGTACACTACTACAATGATTTGTGATGGGGTCTACCCAGATAACACATGGTAGATGTATACTGTACACTACTACAATGATTTGTGATGGGGTCTACCCAGATAACACATGGTAGATGTATACTGTACACTACTACAATGATTTGTGATGGGGTCTACCCAGATAACACATGGTAGATGTATACTGTACACTACTACAATGATTTGTGATGGGGTCTACCCAGATAACACATGGTAGATGTATACTGTACACTACTACAATGATTTGTGATGGGGTCTACCCAGATAACACATGGTAGATGTATACTGTACACTACTACAATGATTTGTGATGGGGTCTACCCAGATAACACATGGTAGATGTATACTGTACACTACTACAATGATTTGTGATGGGGTCTACCCAGATAACACATGGTAGATGTATACTGTACACTACTACAATGATTTGTGATGGGGTCTACCCAGATAACACATGGTAGATGTATACTGTACACTACTACAATGATTTGTGATGGGGTCTACCCAGATAACACATGGTAGATGTATACTGTACACTACTACAATGATTTGTGATGGGGTCTACCCAGATAACACATGGTAGATGTATACTGTACACTACTACAATGATTTGTGATGGGGTCTACCCAGATAACACATGGTAGATGTATACTGTACACTACTACAATGATTTGTGATGGGGTCTACCCAGATAACACATGGTAGATGTATACTGTACACTACTACAATGATTTGTGATGGGGTCTACCCAGATAACACATGGTAGATGTATACTGTACACTACTACAATGATTTGTGATGGGGTCTACCCAGATAACACATGGTAGATGTATACTGTACACTACTACAATGATTTGTGACAGGGTCTACCCAGATAAGACATGGTAGATGTAGGCTGTACACTACTCACCGTTGTCGGTGTTGGACCGCTGAGGGTGACTGTTGACAGCACTTGGCTCTCCGTGAGTGGCCCAGCGGGTGTGAGCAATACCTATGTGGATGTTGTACTTTCTATCAAAGTTCAGGTCCGAACAAGCTGTAACAAAAAACGGAGCATGATGTTATAACACATTTGCCTTACATTCCAATTTCCTAGAAAGTGTAACTCTGTTGCAAGTTAAATGACCTGATGAATTATATCACGAACAGTCATAATCTGACAATGATGTAGTTACTTACTCTCCACCTCCTCCCCGAGTGTCTCAACCTTAATACCCTTCTGTTTCATCATACTTACTCTCCAC